TTGTACATCAAACAGTGAACTTAGGGGCCCGCTTGTGGAAGAAATGGCTCCTGCCTTCGTTTCAAGAGAAAAATTTTTATTGATGGAATAGAATAGCCTCAGTCATCAATGCAAACAATTGCGTCTCCCTCTCTCCAATGACTTGGAGATGCAGTTGTCTCTCTCTCTTGACATGAGAGGACCCACACGTCTTTCTATCTCTTAGATGGTTTTAAGAGGACCTGACTTTCTACATTTGTCATGGAAATGTTTTCACTCAATCACATTAATGCATTGTGCCTCTCTTCATGTATACAAACTCTATCTTTCGACATGATTTAGAGGTGTGCCTTCTTGGATTATTTAAGATGGATACCTCAAGTAAATTTTAGCAAAATACAAATTTAATTCTTTCACAGTAATAGGCAGGCAATTGGGTAGGCAAAGGACCACAAATGGACAATGGTGACCGCATTTAGAGGGAAAAATTTGACAACACTTGAAAAATCAAATAATATTTGGGAAATTCCATATAATAGGGCCTAACCCCTTACAAAAATCATTAAATGGGCCAAAACATCTTAATTAATAAAGTTTACTTCAAATTTTCTGACTATTATTTAAAGATCCTCCTAAAAGAATGTCTTTAAGAATGCCCAATTTGCTCTTGTTTTAGGAACCCTCAAACATAAGCAAAGCCCTTTTAGTAATTATAAAAATTATGAGTTGATTGCGGAAATTAATGCATGAAGGTTTAAATGAGAAAAGAAAAACTTGTCAGAGATGATGGAAGCAATGTAGGAAAATTTGATGCGCATGACATATTCTTCCAACTAATCTACAATTCCCAGGGCAAACACATTGACCTCTAAATTTTAAAGATAATCGGAAGTCAATAAAAGTCACCAAATTTTGTTAATGGTAAAAACAAAGAAAAAAAACAAAAGAAAGAAAAGAAAGGTATTTGAAAATCATCAAAAGCCAAGTCTTCAACTCCTTTCTTCATGGAAACGGGAAACGAAGTCGGTTCTAAATTTGAACCTGAGAAACAAAGATAAAATAAAACATCAAAATAAAAAACAATTTTAGACCGGACAGTAAAATTCTCAAAATATGAAATATTTTCTAATGGGAAAAGTTTATATAGAGCCAAGGCCGTAAACAATCAAATTAGAGCCCACCTCAAAACTTTCATGAAAAGACGTAGTTTTGATGCTCAAATATCCTCAAATTGATCATCTCGTCATCAAGACGCATGGATTTGAGGAAAAAATGGATTTTATGTTTTGAAAATAGTGTATCTTGTAACGTATTTTTTGACCGTCAATTTTCAACATTTTCAAATTTTAGTATATCTACTCGATCTACACTATTTTTGAATATTTAAAATTTTCAAGTAATGCCAAGGCTAATAATAATTATCTAAGTAATATTTAAGATAGCATAACCCCTTACAAAAATCATTAAATGGGGAAAAAAAAACATCTGAATTATTTAATAAGTTTATTTCAAAATTTCTCACTATTAATTAAACAGGTACCTTCTAAAAAAATATTTTTAAGAATGCCCATTTTGCTCTTGGTTTGGAAAACCTTGGTTATTTTAGTAATTTGACCTATCTAAGAGGCCCAAAACAAATGACAAGAGTATCCCTACTTGTTCAGGGTCGATCAAATTATTAAAATGCGTTTGCTTGTTTAGGGTTCCCAACCCTAAACAAAGGAATTGGGGTATTTTTAATAATATAATTTGGAAGAAACCTGAGTGAAATGAAAACTAAAAAATAAATCGACTAATATTAATTGAGACATTTTGGCCTCGTTAATGTTTGCGATGAGTTTTGACCCCTTAACGATATCTTCGGGTAATTCTTAATATACATTCTTTTCTTTGTTTCATTTGACAACCCCGCTGTTTTCTTGGGCACACAAACCTTCCCCAAATAAATTATATATATTTTTCTCCTTTAGATGAAATTTTTTATTTAATGATGCAGAGATCTAGATGAAAATGAGTTGATTAATTATAGGAATCATGAGCAGATAGAGGAAATTAGATGTGTGAAGGTTTAAAGTTAAGCGCACTACATATTTTTCCAACTAATCTACAACTCTACTCTAATAATAATAGGAAACGGTTTATATAAAGTCGAGGGTCTAAACAATAAAATTAGAGCCCACTTCAAAAATTTCACTAGAAGAGTTGGTTTTGATGTCCAAATATCGTCAAATTGTTCATCTTGACAACAAGATGAATGGACCTGAGAAAAAAATGGATTTCTAGTTTTGAAAATAGTGTATCTTGTAACTTATATTTGGACCGTCAAATTTCAAGATTTTCAAGTTTTCATATATATGTTCGATCCACGTTATTTTTTAATCTTTAAACTTTATAATTAATGATAAAAATATATTTTAAGGCTGTTACAAAGATTTACAGTATTGAAAATATATTTCTCGACATTACGTGAAGGTGTGCTTTATTTTGATTGTTTAGAGCATCGGCTCTATACAAAACACACCCCTAATATTATTTGTGGACCCAAATTATATTATTTGTGGACACAAACAAATTTGGAGGTTAATCGAAAGTCATCAAATTTTTTTAATGGTAAAAAAAATAATAAAAAGAAAGTTATTGAAAGTAATCAAATTTTGGTAATGGTCAAAAAAAAAAAAAAAAACAAAAAAAACGAAAAGAAAAGTTGAAAAGTTATCAAAAAGCCAAGTCTTGACAACCTATCTCTTCATGGAGACGGGAAAAGAAATCGGTTTTAAGTTTGAAGTTTTGAACCTTAGAAACAAAGACAAAATAAATAAAAAAATCGAAAACCTTTTAGACCTGACAATAAAAATATGAAATATTCTCTAATTCCCCGAACTAGTTTTTGGGTCCACACTTAAATTTTGCCTCCCCTATAAAAGGGACTCGCGAGGAGGGCTTGTAGCAAGCATTTTCATCGGTGCTTGTTTAGTCAATAGAAGCACCATGGAAGCTAAAAAAGGAGCCCTTCTTCCCCACCCTCTGCGTCTTATCCCAATATTATCATTCACTGCTGTCATGTGCTTTTTCGATTTCTCCATGGCCTTAGAGGGCTTCCCATTTTGTAGAGAAAATGAAAGAGTGGCCCTCTTGGATTTCAAAGCTTCTCATTCCAACCCAAATGCTACATTGAAGGTCCAAATGGATTCATGGAAGGGGTTCAATTGTTGTAAGTGGGAAGGAGTGGAGTGTCACAGTTCCTCTTCTCATGTTGTGAGTCTCAGAGTATATAAGACACCTTGGAAGATCAATGGATATACAAACTCTGTAATGCTGAATGCCTCTTCCTTAACTAGACTCAGCCAGCTGCAACATTTGGAACTGAGGTTCTTTGCTGGTGTGTTGCCCATAAAAGGTGAGTCTCGTTCAGTTGATAGATTTATACATATTCTCTTCATCGTTGTTTCGTGATAGTAATTACTGAGCTCTCAAAATTTTCGCATGGTTATTTTATTATGGTTGCAGAACTCTCAAAGCTAAAGAACCTGCGTGAGTTAATCTTTGTTTCCAATGAATTTAGTGGAGGAATTCCTGAGGAGGTGGGTTTGCTCTCTTCCCTTCAGAAACTTGTTCTAAATGGGAATCGGCTTCAAGGACCCATCCCGGCATCCTTTGGTGGCCTAACATTTTTGGTTGAGCTGCGTTTGTCTTACAATGATCTCAATGGAAGAATTCCAGGGGAAGTGGGTTTGCTCTCTTCCCTTCAAAAGCTTTATCTAGATGGGAATCGGCTTCAAGGACGCATACCATCAACTCTGGGTAACTTGTCCCGTCTCAACGTTCTACAACTATATGGGAATCAACTTTCCGGTAGCATACCGGAATCTCTTGGCAGCCTATTATCATTGGAACGGCTTGTACTCAGCGAAAATAAACTTGATGGGAGGATACCATCAACTCTGATTAACTTGTCCCGTCTCAATGGTCTACAACTATATGGGAATCAACTTTCTGGTAGCATACCAGAATCTCTTGGCAGCCTATTATCATTGGAATGGCTTGACCTCGGCAACAATAAACTTGAAGGGAGCATACCGTTGTCTATTGCCAACCTCACCCTCCTTAGAAGATTAAGTCTTGAACAGAACATGTTACAAGGAAACATACCTTCTATATTTGGATACCTCTCCTCTCTTGAAAATCTTGTGCTTGGGAAAAACTACCTGCAAGGTTCTATCCCACGCGAATTAGGTAAGCTTTACACTTTGAGTTATCTTCTTCTCAATGATAATGACTTGTCAGGTGATTTCTCTTTCACAATCTTTGCAAATGTTTCTAGCCTCAAATATGTCCACCTCTCTGCAAACCCTAAGCTAACCATTTCCCACAACAACTTTACTCCTGCTTTCCAGCTTTATAGTCTCAAGTTGTCATCGTGTGACATGAGAAGGTTCGACTTAAGTTCTCCAGGCTTCCTATCGACTCAAAACCAGTTACTCACTGTCGATCTCTCAAAGAGCAAAATTATTGGGAATATCCCCTCTTGGTTACTCGAAAACACTGGAGAACTGTTGTTGGATGGGAATTTGCTCACAGGAGTACAATTTTTGCCTAACATATCTTACGACCTCAATAATTTGGATATCTCTAACAACCCAATCAGTAGGAATTTCCCAAGCAATTTCTCTAGTTATTTTCCAAATTTGCAATCACTTAAAATGTCCCAGAATTTCCTTAATGATGACTTAATGTTTTACATCAATGGCTTTAAGCGATTGAGAGTGTTGGATTTGTCTAGCAACAATATCTCAGGAAATTTGCCTTCCATTTTCCCCTATAACCTCATAATTCTGGACTTATCAAACAACAAAATCACTGGAGAAATACCCCCCAATTTGACCAGAGGACATGACCTCATGTTTTTGAGCCTGTCTAAGAACTCCTTGAGTGGACCCTTGCAATCCAAACATTTCAAATTACCAAATTTGGTATCACTCCATTTAGATAACAATGCATTCAATGGAACCATACCGAGGAACTTGTTGCGGTGTAGTCCATCTCTAACTGTTTTAAATCTTGCGAATAATAAATTATATGCTCCCATGCCAATTGAATTATTTGGGCTTTTGGAAATGAAAGTGCTAATCTTGCGAGGAAATTTTTTCGATCATATTCCACTCAAATTGTGTCAAGTAAAAAGTTTGGCCGTCTTGGATTTTTCCCAAAACAACCTTGAAGGTCCCATACCTCCTTGCTTCAATAATTTTTCTGCATGGACAAATGCATCCTTTATTGGTTCCATTTCATCTCATTATGCCCCATTTTGCCCCTTTTCTACCAAATTTGGTTCTTATTTTAGCCCTTACACAATCTCACGAGAGAAGGTGGAATTTACAAAGGGAAATATATATAGTTATCTCGGGGATGCTCTCAAGTACATGACCGGTTTGGATTTGTCGGAAAACAAATTAAGTGGCCCTCTTCCATTAGACATGGGGCTTTTAAAAGAACTTGCCATGTTGAATCTCTCCAACAATCTTCTAACAGGTCCAATTCCCAAATCCTTTGGAGGGTTATTGGGTCTCTCAACATTAGATCTTTCTTACAATACACTCTCTGGTGAATTTCCTTCTCAATTAACAAGACTTACCCATTTGTCCATCTTTTCTGTTGCAAATAATAATCTATCCGGTGAGATACCTGACACAACGCAATTCTGTACTTTCAATGTGAGTTCTTTTAGTGGAAACCCAAACCTGAATACACAAGGAAAGAGGTGTTCGACAACTCTGTCATCAAATGTGTCAACTGCATCGAGCGATAATGATGGTGAAGATGAAGATGAAGATGAAGATGAAGATGAAGAGGAAGGGTGGGTGGAGATGACACCTGCGTTCTATGCTTTCATTGCCTTGGGTTATGCTATTGGCATATGGGGAGCACTAGCCTTTCTTTTTTTCGGCAACAAGAGAGGACATGCTTGTGTGAGGGCCATGGACGCAATAGTCTCCCGACTTTTTCGTGCATTTTGCCATAAACATTAGTCATTCGACTTCTTCTCCTGTTCACACACAATAATCCAATGGGCAACAATGTTACCATGTGGCATAATTACTCTATTGTATTGTTGTAAGATATGTAAAGGTTCGGTCAAAAGGTCATTTTTTATTCATTCCCAAATTGCCCATCGGATTGAGGATCTTCGGAATGCTTGTTATTTTTTATTTTAACTTATTTTTTTCTAAAGTAAGGCTGTAGAGTCTTGTTTAATGCGGTCCAAAGATAACAACCGGGTTATACCTTTGAAAGAATAGAACAAAATTCGAACAACTCGGTTTAGAGAATATGAAGGCCATTAGATGGAATAGGATCACGAATGGACATAAAGCCACATTTTTATGTAATCTTGGTGTATCAAAGAGTCTCTCAAGAACTTCTTTCAATTGTTCCCCCTTCAATTCCCACGATTAATATATCCAAAAAAGAAAAAAGAAAACAACTTTTCAATTGCAAAATTTGACTTTCAATTTAGTTTACAAGGCACAGTCTTGCTTAACGTAAATTATAACCATATTTTTCTCTTTTAAATGAAAAGGAGCATGAACTATTATTGTACGACCAGGCCACTTGGGAGGAAGGATTTTCTTGATTTAAATTTTTTTTACAAAAATAAAAAAATAATAAGCTAGATCTTAAAAACTTGATCTGACCATCCAAAACCTAGCAAATGAACATCCAAATCTGAAAAAATGCATATTGGTTTTAATTTGGAGCCAAACAAGTAGTTTTGTATGTATCATGGGCATGGAGAAGGAATGCAAAAAGATACTAGATGTTGAGAAAGTGCTGATGTTGAGAAAAAGTTACAACATCAGTACTCTTCTTAGGTTAGGTTAGTTTTCAAACTGCAAAACCTACCTTATAACTTAAGCGTAGTCTAAGTGACTCACATCCATTGGATTATTGATTATTATGTCAGAAAATGAGCAACAAAATTGTTTTAACGTGCTGCGATCCAGCTTGTGAATCACTGATCCAGACTCGGAATCAGCAGGGACTGAACCGGTTTTGTAAAGGTATCGGTTATAGCCGGTTCCCTGCATCAAATTCCTCATTTCACATTTCTTTTTTCCCTTTTTTTATGCTTATCTAATGTTTCTTTAGTTCCGCCCTATTTTTATTTTTATTTTTTAATATTTTTCTAGTTTGCCGATCCAGTTATCTATCACAGATTTATGTGGTGGACCATTTACCCCATAGATTGAGGTTTTAAAATACTAGTCCATAAAAAGGCAATTTGAAGGTGCATGAGATGGTAGTTCCAAGGGCTACATCAAAAGGCAGGTGCAACAGACTTTTTCGTAATAGGCCTCATGAGAACTTTCTTTTAAGAAAATAGACATTAAAATATTTTATTTTTGAGTTTAGCACTCCAACTTTTTATAGTGAGCCAAATGAAACTATTTGCTCCTCATAAAAGAAAAATATTAAAAGTTTCTTTTACCTTCCATGCCTTTCCTATTTATAAAAAGTATTTTATTAATTTAAATGAGATTTTGTTTCATTTTTCGGACCAAGAGAACATAAAAAATGAGGGTAATTTGTATACAATGACAGTCCATGAGTATAATTCTTAAAAATGGTGGCGTATACGTAGTATTCCCTAAAAATATATCTTATTACAATAGCATCATTCTATAAATATAATTATAAATAAAAGCCTAAATTTTCAAAGGAGGTGGCCAAATCCACTGCGTGATTCCCTTGCTTACATTTGTGGGCAATCTTGGAGGACTATATTCTTTTGTATTTTCAAATAAGGTCTTTGCAACCTTAGAACAATATGTCGCTCCAACCTTATTGTACAGGGAAAAGTTTATATAAGGGTAAGGTTCTAAATAATCAAATTAAGGTGCTCCTCGAAAATTCACTCGAAGAGGTTGCTTTGATGCTCAGTAACCCTCAATTCTATCATCTCAAGCTGAAGATGTATGGACATGAGATAAAATATATTTCAAGTCTTATAAATAGTGCATCTTGTAACGTATTACTAGACCGTCAATTTTCAATATTTTCAAATATTCATCGATTTGTTAGGTCAACACTATTTTTGAATATTTAAATATTATAATTAGAGATGAAAATAAATTTTAAAGTCATTACTAAGATTTTGTATACTGAAACAACATGAAGGTGTGCCTTACTTTGATTGTTTGTAATTTCTTATACAAACCACACCCTTTAATAAAAGATCTATTACATTTTTGTTTATGTAAACAGAGGAGGAGGGTGTTGTTTGTATATATCTCACCTTTAAATAGTTGAAGTAAGGCGCATCGCTAAATCAGTTCAGAACACGTAATTGTGAAGATAGAGGCGATCTATAAATACCTGAACATCTTAAAAATAGACTGTTTTAGATAATATGTTACAAGTTGCAGTAATCTTAAAACTTGAAGACGTTCGTATCTATATATTTCAAGGTTTTTACCAATTTTCCAAAGAGTTTTTAAAGTGCGCATTACTTTCACAGTTAGGGGTGACAACAGGTCGGGTCCGGGTTTCGTAATCCAGGCCAAAATTTAGACCCATACCCAGACCTGTTGGGTCCCTGTGACAATAATAATGTAGGTCAATATTATGACAATATTGTGACAATATTGTCAATATTGTGACAATATGAACATCTAACACGTGCATAATGACACATGATTGCAACCATATATCCTATGACTATGGGTATGGGTCGGGTCTGCTAGACTCAGACTCTGACCCGAATAGTGCTAATGGCGAATCGTGCTATCATTCTGAAATGGATTCACACAATAAATAGTGTTATTGCTAAAATTGTCCATTCACATCAAAGGCTTCTTGAATGCATCGGGATTGTATTTTCTGCCATAATCTATGTTTTTATATTTTAAAAAAGATGAAGTTTCTATAAGGCCTAGGATTTTATGAAAACAAAATAAAGGTTCACCTCAAATCCTTATTCGGAAAGTCACTTTTGGTAACGGAAATCTCCATGATGGATCTAAAATCAATTTCCAATACCGACAATAAAATTTGAAACAAAAATACTGATATAGAACTTGTGGATCTATGGACATATATTTTTAGGATGAAATGTGTGGTCTAAATAATTTATTATAATATATATTATTTTTTAGAGCTTAAAATCCTCATTTCTTTTTACAACCATAATTTTCAAGCCGAGTTAATTCATGTAAAAGTTTTCCAATGCTTGAATTGTAAATATCGATGAGTTATGAGTTGAGACTTTAGTTAGTTTGATAGAGCTGCAACCCTATCAAATTATTTTCCTTTTTAAGACATCCCCATCTCTTAATCAATTTTTCTTAAAACCATTTTTTTTCAACCCTAACAGAATCTTCTCCCATATATATCATGTTAGCCCACTAGGTAACATCTACAGTGTATGCCCAATGGTCAGATTGAATCTAAGCTGATCCAATAGTCATGATTGTATTTCGTACTTAAATTTTAAGAAATACAAATCACTTGAAATTTTTAGTGTCTTTTCTTTTCTAAAACGGAGAATCTAATATCAAAAGATAATTTACAAAAAATAATTTAACTAAAATACCCCTGAAAAATTTAAATTTTACAAATTATTTTTTAACTATTTTTATTAAGTGTGCCTTCATTGGAAGAATGGATGCACGAAATTTCATGTGATTTGAACTTGTAAAAAAAATATTAAAATGATATTATGAAATGAGGTCATGACCGTTAGATTGGCCCATATTCAATCTAGGCTGTTGGGTATACATTGTAGTTGTCAGCTAGTGAGCTAACATGACCTTATATCTATCTATCTATATATATATATATATATATAATCTAAACTTCACAACCGTTGAAGGGTGGATTTATCAATTTTCTTGTTTATTTTTTAAAGAAATTTACTTTTATGGGGCAATTTTATAAAAATATTATTACAAGATAAATGGTACTTTTGTGATCTTCATAATGAGTAAAATGGAAATTTTAACTAAAGGACAATGCACTCTACAAATAAAATTTCAGCACTATAACTTTTAAAATGCCATTGTACTTTTGTGAAAGTTTCAAATTTGCCCTTGCTTGTTGGTAAACTTACTTATTTAAATAATTTTTTAATAAAAAAAATGATTATTTTGATAAATACGCCCATCACAATCCCTTCTAATTCGAACCT